TTCTGAGATGGGATCCTCTAATATTTTATGTGCTAACAGCTACCTAATTCAAATCAAATATAACTGAATTATTTGCACCCACTGACCCACAGGAAATGAACAAGGTCAGTACTAGGTAGTGGTACAACATGGTACTTGTACATTTCAACAGTATTACTAGCCACTGGCCAAGTATACCGACTGTAAATTGCAATTGCCATGAAAGACATGAATGATGAATGGCCATTGGCATTTGGCATTGTCCACACTCCACAGTTCCTATAAAAAATCTATAATCACTAATGGTTTTACCTAGCGCAAGATATTCAACTATTTTTCACCAAAATCAAGTTAAATGGTAACAGAAAAAAAATACAAGTCTGGCATATGTTGCTATTCAACCGACTCCTAATTTCATGAATGATGATTACACAAAACTTTCCTCGGTTCTGAGTTCTGACACAGTTATGAGCACTCCAACCACAACGCGTTTCATGGACAAACTGACCTACTCAGTGCACACCTGCGTTCCAACTAGAAATGGAACTATTGTGAATTAGATTTGCAACTTTGCAGCGCAATCACACAGAAATTACTGGTGGCGTTTCACAGTTTTACTTTCATTCCTATGATGCTCATTTTTACCGGTTTAAGCTGTAGAATTAAATTAAATTAAAAAATTAATTAAAATTAAATTTTACTAAATCAAATTTTATTATTTAATACAATAGATGGTACATGCTGTAGAATTAAATTATATTAGAAAAATGTTGAATTAAAAATCTGATTATATTTTTTAAATTAAAAATTACCTAATTTTTATTAAATTAAATTTTATTATTAATGCACTATATGGTACATGCTCTATGTTTTATATAATGAAATAGAAATAGTTTCCCATTTTAAACAAACATTTTCTAAAAGACACAAAACATTCAAAAACGAGCAATGGCAGGCAAAATCATTCAGAATTTGAAGTGAATTTATCAAGATAAATTCAACATAATAGGGCAAAAAATGGAAAAAATTCAAATCTGGAACGTATAAATGTGGTTTTTAATTAAAAAAAACTTTTAATCATTTAAATCTCAGAATGGAATGTGAATCAAATCTATTTATAGTGAAATCAAACTAGACACAACCAAACAAAAGTGTGTGTGACACCATCTTGTAATACGTAATGGTAAAAGCACGATGTGAATGTACGCAGTGAAACATTGGCAGACTGGCAGTTTATCTCATAATTTTGTGTGATATCAAAAACTTTGTTGGTATTGTCCAATTGCGAGAATTTTTTACGAATGTGTGTGTTTTTTTTATTTTAGAACGTATTCATTGCAAAAATGTGTTTACTAGCCTACAGATAAACGACTAGTAGTACCGTCAACCGGGGCTACTCGGGACAGATTTGATCGTTTTTTTGTTAATAACTTCTTAGGATGAAACATTTCATAAACAAATTTAAGCTCATTTTATATCTCTTTGCCAGGGCTATCGAATGGCATTGTCAAGAAAATTCCATATGCTATTCCTAAGGTGCCAGACGCAAAATAAAGATTTTGTGCTACTGGGGACAATGGGAATAAAACTTCATTTCAAAACATTTGAAGCATGCAGAGCGTACTCATCCATTACTAACAGTACTCTGACGTCCTCCTCTTTCATTGTAGATGATGTAGGGGTAGAATAAATGACATTTTCTGTGATTTTTACTTGTTTTTCCTTTAATGATATGATATTACCATAAACATTAATTACCCTCAACTGGGGTGACTTTGGCCTTGTTTTTGATTCATGCTGGGGTCCTAAAGGCAGGGTCATAAAAGCCGGGGTCATAAACGCCAGGGTTGTAAACCAGGTCATAAACTCCAGATCCAGAGTGACTTTGGCCATTGTTTATGACCCCCTTTGGCCATCATTATGAACTTGGCATACAGGATGGCTTGTAATTTGTGTGAGGATAAGTGAACTTTTTTTTTCGCTCAGTGAGGTAAATGTAATCAATATTCTTTGTTTTTAATAAATTTTTTCTTAACTGGAGCCTTTGCTGAGATTCTACCGTAAATGCGTTTTTGAGGGTGTCCCGAATAGCCCCAGGGGGGTGTGCTGAATAGCCCCAGGGGGGTGTCCCGAATAGCCCCAGGGGGGTGTCCCGAGTAGCCCTGCCATGCGGAAATGGCTGCCATTTCATTTTGGAATGAGATAGACAAATTCTGTCAATTACGTTTTCAAGCCGACACCTGTGTGTAACTTTTGTGTAAGTAAAATTTTTTAATACGGCGAATATTTTTTTGCTACATACCTTAGCAGTTGTAACTTTACAAAATATAGTTTTTCACCATTTTTTCAGGAATTTTTCAAAGCAAGTAAATGTAGTATTTTTCAACTTCCTTTATACTACATAGATAGGAAAAATGTCGACGTTTATGCCACTATTTTTAGTTTTGCAATATTCCAATTAGTTTCGCTACTACAACAGTTTTACGACGTGTCGGAGGCCTGTCCCGAGTTAGCCGAGTAGCCCTGCTTGTCCCGAGTAGCCCCGGTTGACGGTAGTTAACTTGATTAGGCGTTGGCAACACGGGATTGTTTTTCAAACCACGCGCAATTTCAGAAGAGAAGCGCGGCAGTTTCTAATGAGCTCAGTTTATCAATTTTCACTGCAGTGGAAGGTGGTGTAACACGGTTGTAGGGTTGGTTTTTTGATACGTTTTCTTATATTAACATGGGAATATATTACCTAAACAGAATTCCACACTTATAGAATTCACGTCACGGTGACGGTAAGCAAGTGAGTGCAGCAGTACTATCTGAGCATCAGTATTGGCATTATGGCACTTGTAGGCATAGTGGCAAACCAGACTCCAGAGCTTTTTTAGAATCAGTTCATTTTTAATTTCCTTATTTACTCAAGATTTAAACAAACTTCTTAAGTATTGTAATGGTGGTATCCAGGATACTTTACTTGTCTACTTATAGGACTCAAAAATGAACTTGAGAAGTTGAGGGAGAGTCTAAAAAACTCTCTGCTTTGCCACTATGCTTGTAGGTAGTAGGTACCATCAGTCCATTGACCATTAGCCTAGCACTAGCATATGATTAGTACCTAGACAAACAGAAATAGGTACACATCAATCATCATTTCATAAATTAATCACAAGCTTTGTTGACATTGTTGTACTTGTACAATTGTGGAAAATTAAAACAGCAGTTCTCAGTTCTGAGATGGGATCCTCTAATATTTTATGTGCTAACAGCTACCTAATTCATATCTAATATAAATGAACTACTTGCACCCACAGGAAATGAACAAGGTAGGTACTAGGTAGTGCCGTAGTGGTAGCTACAACATCATCAACATGGTAGTGACTAGTGATGATGGTACTTGTACATATCAACAGTATTATTATTAATAATACTAAGTATTAGTAGCCACTAGGGGCTAGGGCACTAGCCAAGTATACTGACTGTAAATTGCAATTGCCACGAAAAGAATGAATGGTGAATGACCATTGCCCCATTCACCCATTGGCATTGTTCACGCTCCACACTCCACAGTTCCTATAAAAAATCTCTAATCACTAATGGTTTTAGCCTACCTAGCGCAAGATATTAAACTATTTTTCACCCAAATCAAGTTAAATGGTAACAGAAAAAATACAAGTCTGGCATTTGTTACTATTCGACCTACTCCTAATTTCATGAATGATGATTACACTAAACTTTCCTCGATTCTGAGTTCTGACGCAGTTATGAGCACTCCATTACCACGACGCGTTTCATGGACAAACTGACCTACTCAGTGCTCACCTGCGTTCCAACTAGAAATGGAACTATTGTGAATTAGATTCGCAACTGCGCAGCGCAATCACACAGAAATGACTCATCTTGGTGTAAGATATGGTTATATGCGATTATCGAAATTAATCAACAAATACTACTAACGAACAACAGAATCTGCCTGCCTAGAAATAAAAGGTTGTTGAAAATTATTACGGGGAAACAAATATCACGCACAGATTATATTCGTTAGATCGAATCCGCAACATTGCAATAGTGATTAATTCACGAGACCACGAGTTCGCACGAGAGTTGAACTATGTTTGGACAATTCATTCAACTATTGACCTATACTATTCTGACGCAGCTTCTGAAATTTTTTCATCAGCGAATATTCAAATTCACATAACAGGATAACCGTGATTTTGCAATATCTTATAATATTCCCTGCATTGGTGGAATCTCAAGTTGAAACATTACTCAGTTATTTATAAAAAATTCACGAGACAATTCTCAAAAATGAAATCTCAAGTCGCAAACTACTTTTCAGAAATTGACTTCATTAGTCAAGCCACATTTGCTCAGATTTCACTATACCTGAAAGGCTGATAAAAGCTCACTGCGTACGATAGATAGGCTAAACGGCTTTTCAAAGAAGACACTAGAAAATCTCGTCAAATGCAGAAACACTCTAATGTTTTGCAAGGTTCTCTTATTCACGATTGTTGACTATTAATGTAAATTATTCAATTCTTATCAAGATTATTCAGTCTTTATGAAATAAATTTGATTTCGAGATTCAGCAGCATTCGTTAAAGTATAGAATGAGTTATGTTCATACAAGAGAACTGTCACAACATGGGCCACGATCCGCATTTATTGCAAGGAAACCCAGATCATTTTACAACAGGAGCCGAGGAAGTTGGGCATTATGGCGATAACGTTAAGATTATGGAAGTGATACACAAATTTCGCTGCCAAGTCAATAAATATCGCGCTAATCACCAATAGCGATCACTAATCTTGACGCGATAACTAGTCAATTTCAATCGTGTGAAATTGCATCGAAATGGCTTTTCGGTCCTTAAAATGGTATTTATAGCGATTTGAAAACACGTGCATGTTTCCACAAGACACGCATCTAGAAATTAGCTCGTGCATTTTGAGTCCCACTTCATCCAAACCTGACCGCCAACCAATTCGTTAGTTACACCGGAAAAAGGGTTTACAAACAATTACCATTTTGTTCGAGCATTCATTCCATTTTACTCAATATGTTGAGAGATACGTAGTCTCCAGTTGAGATACGTAGTCTCCCCTAACTAAATAACGGGAAGTGATGAGATCATGAGGCCTAGAGGGGAGTGAAGGGTCCAATTATTCTCTCATTTGTCCGTCTTCCTCATCATCCTCTTCAGCCCCTCTGATGTAGAGGACGTTATTGCAGCGCACCAAAACTTCACCCAAGCTGCCTGTGCTTTGGCCTTCAATGTATTCTTCAGTGTTGGCAAGCTGTGGACAAACATGGTAAGTTAGGTTAGTATAGTGCACCAATCTCTCGTCATGCATAACGACGGAGACATCAAATTTGACTGTTAGATCTCGATTCTTTTTTCAATTGCCATACTTTTACAGTGCTTTAAGTAATATTTTCTATGTCAGAAAAACAATTTGAAAGATGGCAGGGTACAAGTTTTGACTCAAAATGCTATTAAAAACAAAAAATTCTGCCATAATTGCTTCAATAACGGACGAGCAACATCTCGAGCATTAATTCCAAACCAGCAACACCCATGTTAATTTTAAGGGAACTCAGGCAGGCATAATCTATCATAATGTTGGAAAAAGCTGATGTTCCACAATACTGTATCATCAAAAAGGATGCTGAACAAATTTTCACTGAAATCACCAGCTGTGCATCAGAAGAGTAAGATACTATGCACTTCAAAAAGCTCAAAGAGCAACGTTTACTGTTGCAAGTCAAACTTGCTGATGCTCCTGGGAACAACAGTAATTAACCTTGCAATTACTCTTCCCACGCCTCAACCTGAACAGGAAACACCTTATTCAGATCAAATGCCAAGGTATGGGGATGCTAACAATACAGCAAAATATTCATATTAGGTAAGAGAAACTACTGTTACACCTACCTTAAATGTAATGCAAACTTTTTTTCTTTTTTAATTCAAGACCAAAGACACTAAACAAGGACAATTATACAAACCACTAATGAAACCTTAAAACGTTATGTTGCCCTCATATGATACATATATATGTAGGGTCTCAACTTTCATGATCATGAGGAGCAGAAAGACAAATGAGACACTAATAATGTGAAACAGTATTGCTTCCATCTAATCAAAATTTTTTCAATGCAGGAACAGGTAGTGTTGACATAATGATGCAGTTGAAATGTGTATGAATAGGATGTTTTATAATAACCTCTCCATGGCGATTTTTCGCATTGCATGACATAGGAGTTGCTAAAGCATACACTTAAAAAATTACAAATTACATAAAATATTAAATCACTGATCACAAAAATAAACACACGGCCAAAAAAAAAATTTAAAGTTGACTGTATCACTGAATTCTTTATCCATGTTGACAACTAAATGTTTCAATACGTACATTGCAAAAAAATCATGTTTGTACATTTTTACTCAACTTATGCATGTAGGTTATCAGTCATGACATGGGAATAAAATTTAAAACTTGAAATCTCCAATTAAGATATCACTTCCAAAGAAATTATCAGCTTCCTACCATCATTTTATAATGCACTTGCTGTAACAATCAACACAAAATTGAAAAAGAAAGCAAATTCACCAGCAAAATATGTTCACAATAATCACTCAAGTCATAAATTTGTGGCAAAGCAAACTTGCTGATGCTCCTGAGAACAACAGTAATAACCCTTGCACTTGATCTTTCCCGGCTGCACTCCAAAATCAAGATGATTCTAAATAATAATTGAATGCAATGGGAGTTCATAATGCTGGCTTCCATCCACAAAGCAAGCCATTCCAATAACTTCATTAATATACATATTCAACTTATAAATATTTCAGAACATAGCATCACAGACCACTTTGCTACAACAGTAAGCTGAATAACCTTATCATGTTAACAAGTTTAAACATAAAGTGTGGCATGAGAAGAGCTTGATGCATAGTTATTTTACCTGCATGTTCATATATCCATCAACGGACACAAGGATGCCCTTGTACTCATGGCCCCATTTTAGCTTCACCACCACAGCCTGACCAGTGAGCTGGTTCAGGAAGGGCTTTGGGTTGATGGGAGTGGGGACAACAGCAGCCTGAGGAAGACACAAGACATTATTATACAGATAAGCTAATAAAGGGAATTACATTTGATTTTAACAAATTGAGAAAGCTTTATACATACAAAAGAAATTCACAGGAGGTAGCTCTTTGAATGGGTACTGGTACCTAATTGAATTTATTTATATGGTAAATTTTTGCAAAGCAGGCAATTATACTCCAATAAAATATCACAGAAAATTTTCAGAGTTCAATAATATGATAATAGATTTTAGATGTAGATCTTAAAAAGTTTGGCATACAACATTTACATAGCCTCAAACACAAACCATGGGAAGAGCTGTGCTTTATTGGAAGGAGAATTCAAGTGATAAAAAATGGTAACTTGAAAACAAAAGGGTTACACAAAGGTTAAGAAAAGGCCAGAAGCACAGAATTTTTCCTTTGCAGTTGGTGTTTTAGCAATTTTGCTAACAATACAATAGGAGCATTAGGAGGTAAGTCGTCTAGTCATGGCTTGAAAAGTTTATACATTTGTTCTGTTACTTCTGTGCCACTAAAATGGACAGTTTCATCTTGTTCAAGGCCAAGGGCTTTGGGTTGATGGGAGCTTTTGCCACTTTTTTCAAGCTTTTTGCCACTGGCATAAAATATATTTACCTTTCAAGCTGCAAATGAAGCTTTCTTGACATTTTTAGAATCAAAAGATTCCTGCTAGATGAATAATCAACTATCTAATTGTCAATGAAAGTGCACAATCAGGCCATGAGATTAAAAATGTATTAAAAATTAGTCACTTTGGAGCTGCAAGATTTCAGTGACAAGTAAGAAAATACCAATTCTATTTTGTCAGTTTTTCCGGTTTGATCCAGAAAATTTATGCACATCTTTAGAACTCAGAAGATTTTTTCTAACATTTCTCTTTGAAAAATCTGGATTGGAATTTTTCATTTTTTCTAAATCTTGTAGCTCTGAAGTTAAAAATTTTGAATAGATAAAGAATATTACAGCTTGATTATGCAATATTAATAACAATTAATTGGAAGGTGAATTATCTGGTAGAAATCTTGCAGTCCTCAATAGTCAATATGGCAGGAAAACCCCAGATTGGGCTTGTAAGGCAGATCTATTCCATTCCAATAAATAGTAAATACCGTTTAACATGTATTTTGATACCATAAAATGGGGTTACTTTGACCACTTTTCATTTTTTTAACAAAAACCCCCAAAACTCAAAAACGATTTGACATAAAAAAATTTTGTCAATTCTCGGACAAATTAACGGCCGGACTCGCGGCCGGTCTCACGGCCAATTTCCAAAATCAATGATCAAGGAATATCTCTCAAACCAATGAACTTAACTCGATGAAACTGGGTACACATATTCATTAGGACCAAACGGTAATGTTTAGCTCGTGAATTTTTTTTGTAATTTTGCCTTCATTTGTTTTTACCATAGGTATATGACTATACGGGCCGAAATTTACAGTGATCATGAATTTCTTTCAAACTATTGAACAAATTTGAACGAAATTTTGAATTTACAGTCCTAACTACCAAACGGTAATGTTTAGCTCGTGAAAATTTATTCGATTGTGCCTTTGTTCGCTATTTTTTATATTTCACCTTTATTCGTGATTTAGACAGCTATACGTGCTTAAATTCGCAGTAAGCAAGAAATTTCTTCCATAACTACTGAACAGATTTGAACGAAACTTAGTATTTAAATACCAACTTCAGCAACAGTCATATTTAGCTCGCTACAATTTTTCTTTTTGCATTCATTTGCGAGTTATACGGCTATTAAGTATACGTTAACGGCTCTTGGTTAAGCCGGCCGGTAGAAAGCCGGTCGTTCCTCCTATATCTGTAATTCTGTATAACTCGCAAACGAAAGCAAAATAGAAAAATGGTCACGAGCTAAACATCAACGTTGGGAGGTTAGGTATTTATATACAAAGTTTCGTTAAAACCTGTTCAGTAGTTGAAAAGAAATTTCTTGATCGCTGTGAATTCCGAGACGCACGGTTATTTATTATTTTAATTATTCCGATACGCACGAGTCTATACATTAAGCATAGTTTCTTCATGTATGAACCTTAATATATTATATTAGTTTGAATTACTATATAAAATGTTACAAGCTTTAAAAAAATGTTTACGTCATTAGCTTCATATCTAGTCAATGCTATATTTTTTTGGCACGACGGACTATAATTATTGGCAATGGAAAATTTGGGATATGGCAGCCTGCGTCCACAGCGTCCGACAGCTGAGATGATAGAAGAACTCGCTACATGGTCACGCTTTTACGCATTTACGCTTCGCCATTTTTTGTTCGTCTGCCCTTTAAGTCTTGAACAGCTTTACGGCTAAAAGTAAGTTCAATTAGTTATCTTTAAATTGAAATGCTAAGCAAAAATTCAAGTATACTGTAAAGTTTAACCTTCGGCCAGTCGGTGTCGGACGTCGCGGGACTTGGCTTGGCTTCAAATTTCAATGGCTTGTAGCTACTTTGTTTTTACAACACTTCTCTTTAACTTCACTGCTTGTTTGTTTGTCTTTCACTCTCTGTCTGCTACAAATCTTACTTTACTTAGTTATAATCGATATTTAACACACTTCTACCTGTCCAGGCGTGGTAAGACTAAAGACTCCAAGTCTCCAAAGTCTGCTACAAATCTTATAATCCATAATTCCATATGGACGCAAATCACACAATTTCACCAGTCCAATTGATCTGAAATTTTGCACAATTGCTGCTGCATAAAGTCAGAGTCTCAGAGACAATGTGTGAATCAATTGACAATTTGACAGAAATTCAAAGAATAAGTAATTTTGAAAATTTAAAAAATTTTGATATCATGAAAAAATTTTGAAAATTAATTTTGTTTTCAATATTAGAAAATAAAATTAGAAATTCATCTGTAAAATCCAATGATCCAACTGATCCAAGACACTGGATTGTTAAGAAGTGTTGTCTTTAAAAAGTAATTTTTAAATGCATATTATGCACCATTACCAATACCATGGTCCATGTAAAACCCTCTGGGACAGTGGGCTGTGGGAGTGGGACCGTTAAGTTTTAAGGCGTTAACCATACCTGGCGGCGGGCGACCAGCCGCCAGCTGCGGGCCTGCGGCCAGCGTACCCACGAGCCACAGTACCGTGTCCGTGAGCAGGACCGTGACTGAGTCCGTGACCAGTTTACAATGGCTAAAATTGTTTCTGTCTTGAGTCTTGATATTGAATTCTAAAATTAATTGCCACTTTACTTCAATTTAGTTAGTAAAATTTGTTATTAACTTCAAAATTAATTTAAATATTTAATCAATTCTTAACCTCAGAAATTTCCTCAGGGACAGGTAGTAGGCGTAGGCCTACACTGGACCAGTGGACCTAGACTCCTAGAGGCTAGACGGCAGACCTAATCAAATTCATAATATATTATACTAGCAGGGGGCAGGGGTAGCGGCTTTGCGGCTAGCCTACTAGGACTAGCTACTACGAGTAGGAATAGGAATATAGGATGAATGATGAATGCAATTTTATTAGATTTGAATTTGCAATAATATTCATATAATAATATTTCATTAGATCACATGATTAGAAATGAATATTGGAATGGTCAATGGTGAATGGTATCTAATAGCCTAGTTACTAGCTTACTAAAATATAAGCTTAGTACTACTAGTACTAGACATTAGACAATATTATTAATTACAATTTACCTGATTTTATACATATAATGAATTGATGATTGATATGTGATATGTCAAATTGTCAATCAGTCAAAAGGCTCAGTCAATTTTGTGTCATTAATGGTGGATGTACTACTGGCAGAGCACAAGCAGGAGTTGGAGTCTGGGCTTGGAGTCTGTGTGGCGCTCTGGAGGAAGACTATCAGTTTTACTGCTGGCATCTTGTCATCTGCTGGTTTTCAGTACTTGCTAAGTTGCTACTTCCTTCAAAGGTAAACACCAAGTCGCCATCAATATTCTTATTCCAGAGCAATTGACAATCAATTTGTCAATACTTCTAAATCCTATCTGTTAATTAAATGAATTTTTCTCCTTAGCTATATCAAAGGCCAGTTAATGAAACGCTGATTGTAGCCTCCTTATAATGCATTGCAAATAGTTTAATATTTATGATAAATTGTAAAATATTTATTTAATAGTAATTTTGATACCAATGACAGTATATTTTTTTTAATATTGCAAACAATTTTGTGTATTGACTAATAAAGATTAGGTAGAACTGTGCAATCATTAGGCTGGGAACCTAGTCCTACAGTCCCTAGTCTGCTAGTCAATTAGTGAATAGCTACTTCTATTCTAGTACTTAGTATTAAGAACAATGAATAGTTGGGCTCCATCATTGATGCTCCTGGACTCTAATTCTACTATTATAATGGTTTCACTTCATTAAGTTATGACTAATTTTGTATTTGTGTGGCGCAACCTAATAATTTACATAGTATTAATGGTCATCAAGAATTCAACATTGATATAAATCCAAAATTTTATTTAGGCTGTCTCTTCTTAATTCTTTGTCTTGCACCACTATTTTGTGTGAATGATTGAAGTTGAGTATGTACTAAATGTGGATTAAAATTGATTAGGTATTCTTTCTAAAGTCCAACTTACTAATTTTCATTTTTCAACAATAGCTAATTGCATGCTTGTTCCCCAGGTCCTTCTCATCTGACTCACCTTTATCATTCATAATGGCTTCTCATGCAATACTAACGTTTGCTTATAAGAACATTACTGTAATTGAAGGCACTAACACTTTAGAGGCTATGTGTAAATTTTGTGGATATGGCTCTAAAAAAATTAGGTTCACAAAAAGAAGTTACACCAATTTAATAAGGCATATTCAGAAGATCCACCCTAAGAAATACAGTCAATACTGTAAGACAAGGAAGAATGATCCATCAGAAGTTCAATCAAGAAGGCTAATGGAAAGGTTCACCGGAGTAGTAGCTCAACCTGCACACCCTGTATCACAGCCCATCACTGCACAAGCAGGGCCAACACTGTCATCAGTGCACTGCATTATTTCTAATGAAACAATTGGC